CAACCCGCTTGTAAGAGACAAACCAATGAAAGAAATTGGTAATATAACAGCAATTCCTCGCATTAACCAGTCTAGAACGAACAAACAGACGAAATTCATTTAACCTCATATATAATTAATAAACGTCAAACATTATGGCTGGATAATCCGCCACAGGTGATCAACGAAAAAATAATTTCCACAGTCCAAGGTTCATCCACTTAGAACTGTAATTTATAAAAGATTCTATGAATCAATTACATTATTTGTATTATAATATTTAAGTAATAGATAGTTTACACTAATCTAAGTATGGGAGATAGTGTAAGTACATGCAATGTAAGTTGCATATGGTTAAATGAGTTAAGTGAAGATATTGAATTATTTTATTTAATTATTGATTTATTTCTATTTAATATATATTTTAAATTATTTAATAAATAAATGTGTTAAATTGTACACCTTACACGACACTTATATAGTGAATAGATCATAAAGCCTAATTCTGCAAAATTAACGCATGATATATTTGGCTCAAGTTACTTATGTCAGTTCTCTTATTTAGAGCATTCGGGTATTTAAGACTTGAACACATTTCCAAAAACTGTCTTTTAACGAGATTGCGTTCAGTGCCAAGAATCTTAACTTCACTAAAATCCACTTTATGTTTGGTATTGATCGCGTGTTACGCCAGAGCACAAGTGCGTTTTGATAAATTAATGTCACTACGATGTGTCACTACGAGACGACCTTTTAATAATCTCCCAGTCTGACCAATATAACATAAATCGCACTCCGCACAAGGAATGTGATAAATCGTGTTAACTTGTTCCAAAGTGGACACGGGGGGTTTTAGTTTTTAAAAACAAATTTCTAACAGTCTTAGCATTCTTGACCGTAATTTTGACAGGTATGTTATTCTGTTTATACAGTTTAATAAGCTTCTCAGTAACTTGGGGGAGATAAGGTAAAGATGAATAATGGGTAGTAGAATTCTTAAGATCAGTATCAGGCAGAACAATGCTATTAATTGAATTGTTTGATATAGTTCTAAGTAGGTCATCATTGGGTATGTCATCAAACGAGGATCCATAGCTTTGTGAGTAAATGTATTTATTTATGATAGCGGAAAGATATGAATTCTCTATTAGAATATTTCTTAATAACTTAAGGGATTCCCTTCGATTAATTGGATGTGTCAATTTATTTAATCGGCAGCTTAAAGCTTTAATAAGCTTTAATAATACAATTAAAATAATAATACAAATTAAGAGTCTTTTTGGTAGTGTTCTATGATTTTATTCTTAGATTCCAGCGATATTCTGCTGTCATCTTGAATAGAAGAGTCCCTTTTGAGTTTTTTTTTTGACTTGATTTATATTTTTTGTGGCTTGATCTGGTACCATAAACTCTGAATCAGTTGGGTGTTCTATTTCTGATGAGTCAGTTGACTTTGGTCTCTTTTCACCTTTTGAAGTTGTATTAATTTTGCGCGTGTCATTGGGGGTTTCCGAATTATCGTCTTGTAAAACTACCGGTAGTATGTTTAGATTTATAGCTTGGGAAAAATTAGAGGGAAGGGAAGATGTTTTGTTTGAATTTTCTGATTTATTCGATTCAGGGGTGGGGCAATTTGATGCTATGTGACCAGGTTTTTTACAGTAGAAATAAATCATATTATCTGTGGATAAAAATATCCATGATCATTATTGTCAAATGGAATACTCAGGGATGTTTGAATATCTGAGTTATCATGGGATGGCACAAACTATACTTGCCTGCGGAAGAACAAGATATGGTTGTATTCATCTCGTGGGATGCCAGCTCGTAGGAATGATATTGGAGAGACTAGCTAAAGTCCTATGTTTTTAAGGGAGGAACTATTTCATTGGGTATTGAAGGACATAATATTAGACGTGATCAGTCGTTTTGCTGGTGTGATTAATCTTCTGACTGAAAGGATATGGTTTCCGATAATAATAGTAAGATTTGTGGAAACGAGCTGCTCAACTAGATCTGTTTTGGTTAAATAAATATATATTCTGCTATTTGAGACACTTGGGACGAAGCATATATTTCTTGGTCCAATAATATCTCCTATGAATTTAACGTGGTCATATAACTTTAAGTCTTCTTCTAAATGGATCACTATGGCTTTCTCCCTCTTTGGAAAGGAGTATTTTGGTGCTGTTTTAACTGCTGCTGTTTAAGAAATGAGAGGCTGTGAGATGTTTGTTGAAGTAGATTGCTGTGACATGTTTGACGTTGTGGGATTATTTTCAGTCGGTAAACTCGTATTATTATTTGGGGTGCCCTCGTAGTCAAAATCAACCCTGAAAATATTTTTAGTTTCGTTTTCTATTGGTGAATATTACGATTAGCAACCAGTAATTACTTATCATAATTCTAACTGCCTATTCGACAGATAGTTGTTTCAATAATAGGTTTATCTTTATTGTACCGTACTAATTATTGATAAGAGGAGCAAAAATTTGTTTACTAAATGAAATATTGTGAATATTTTTATGCCAGTAAATGCAAGTAAAATTAAATTTTACTCACCAAAATTATACTAGCAGGTGCACAACACAATAACTTTACTCCAATGTAATTCTTATCAATTAATATCAACTATTTCGCTATTTAGACAACAACATATTGAAGAGGTTAATCGATTCGAATGTACACGTTCTAGCTGGATTAGGCCCATCTCATGTTTAATTTGAATGACTGTTGGGTATGTATTTCGAAAAAACTCTAGAATTTTCATTTGACCGATATCGATAATAGGGAACTTGCATAAAATTTTAAATTCGAAATAAATGCCTTAAATCATAACAAAACATAATTTAAAATGTATATCAAACAAAAAAAAAGTTGTTTTTGTCTTTAGTTTGGCCCCTAAAAACGATTAAAATCGAGGGAACATTCAAATTATAGCAGCCAGTCCAAAACGCGTCCTCATTGGTCGTGACGTCATATAGTCAGAATGTTCAAAGATTGGCACTATTAATTCATTACGTTTGACATTCGTTTACTTGTTATAGTAATTTTAGGGTGTATTTCAGTTTTATAAATCTTTAGATAGTTGCAGTGAACTATATATTTAATAATATTTGAGTGTTTTTTTTCAGATATTTTTTTTTAAATAACCGAAGAGGGTTTTTCCCATCGAGCAAAAAGACAAAAGAGGGAATGTAAAGGTAGTGGGGACAAAAATATTGTTAGACAGGAAGTGCCATCTTGAGAGGCCACTTTAAACAAGGAAAGACAGTCTCTTTCCTTGTTTAAGAAATCAAATTTAGTTTGGTTATGTTATTGTTTGTCCCAACTGTCATATGAAATTTTATTTATATTGAAGTTTTTTACCATTTGTGTCACATTGTAGACTATTATCGTTAATATTTAATTAAAACTTTTGTCGTCTGAAATAAATATTTAATAGCTATTGTTAATAAGTGTCGAAAGATTTAAATTTAGCGCCTTTGCATTTTCGGATATGTCCGCCATCAGAGGCCACTTTTTTGGTCTCCTTTTCATAACGGTTAGATTCCCTCTTTTGTCTTTATGCTCGATGGTTTTTCCAAAGGCCAGTCTGATAACTTGCCCATTGTAAATATGTTTATGGTAGCCACATATTTTCAAAACGGTGAAAATTTTTCCCTGGGAGAAGTTCGGGGAGTTAAATCAGATAAGTAAGTATATATACTCCTATTACATTAATTTTATTGTAATTATTATTCTCATAATAAGTATTTAATGATAAAACTTAGTACTTTATATTATAAGTAGTGTCAATATTATATGTTTATGCTATTATACTGAAATTTAATCAAATTAACTTATTCATCGTTTGAACTTAGATCTGGCAGAGAATCATATGGAGATGCAGCTGTAGGATGGGTTCAAGTAAAAACTAGTAAAAAGAAATAACATGATCTGTACTATACTGGTAATCTAATAAATATTTTGTTGGGGGTTTTAATGATTGTACGTTTACACAATGGTACTAAACAACACTTGTAGTATTTACTTTTACTTTCCATAGTAAAAACACACACAATTCAACACTCTCTATTGAAAAACTGTATCATACACCAATATAAACAAAACAGTTTATACTTTTATACAAGACAGGAGACCTGACATACAGACAATACCACCAAGTGACGTCACAAGGGTTCGCGCGCTTTTTCGATCGTTTGAAATGATTTTTATACACGGAAAATTTTAAATTTGTATTGCTAAGTCATTATGAGTTTTTGAGGCGTGAAATTTTGGAAATCTTATTTTTAAATGAAACTGAACGTTATTATATAATAAAAAAAAATGTGCAAGTTCCCTATTATGTGGATTTACAGTACCATTTAAAAAAAGGAACATTCATACGAAAAACGAGGAGGTTTGTATTTTGAAATAAAAATTGACTTGTTTTAGCATTTTCACAAAATCCAATGAATTTTGCCAAATTTTGGAGTGGAGACTTTTAAGTGACTAGCCCTGTATATAAAATCTACTTCGAAAATTGCTCTCAAAATACAAATGTAGGCTTAGTTTGTATTTCGTTAAAATCGCTGTGGTGATAATTTTAAACGTATTATTTTTGTGCACTAATTTTCTGGACAACCAGTACATTATTTTGGAAAATTGAAGAAAAATTAAGAAAAAACCAATGGGTATTTCCTTTTACCATAAATGTAAAAAACGTCTATTAAATTTTGTCAGGAGTTCTAATTGAAATTGAACAATAATAATGTCACTTCTAGTGAAAAGGATCTAAAATAATTTTAAATTGTGGTCATTTTCCATTAATATATCCTCGGAATTTTCAACTGAAATTTCATGTTTGCCTAGAGGTTTAAATAATGCATAATACTTAAAAATTGCAATTATGTACCTGACTGTAATAAATTGCAACGAGTCAATTAGCTGTTGGAAAATAAGTAGAACAGATAAATATAGTGATAACTAAAGTGTTTATAGTGCCTAAACAATGGTCCAATAATTATTTTTATCGAACACCTCCAACCAAAATTGTTAATATAGCATTGTAACAAAACGGGACCAACTACCAACAGTATGCGGTTTGTAAAAATAACTGCTGTTATATACACTTTGTTTTTTAACTATTGGTAAGTAAGCTTTTTTTCTATCCATCTTGGTGAACCACTATTGCTGTATACTCTTCTACTGATGTTCAATGCTGATCGTTTATGATACTTTCGAACTTTATGATACTAACTGTAGAATCTATACAGTTATATAAGTACAGTATATTATAATAATAATAATAATAATAATAATAATCTATGTAATTACTAATAGAGACAGTAATATTAAAGACATTATCCTGCGCTCAGTATTTGTTTTGCTTTCAATGTCTAAACCCCGTTACTAGAATGCATGAAGCATGTTATGCAAAGCACCATTTCATTTTTGTTACTTCTGAGATTTTGGTTACATTTTTGATCACTTGGTTTCTGATTTGGCCTCCCAGAATAGCTGGCTTTATCTCTATTATGCTTTACTTCTTTTTGCATAGCGTTTAATGACCGACAAGCTCTTTAATCCATACGTACAAATAGTTATAATACTTTAATCTCTGACTTTAGTTTTAAAAGTTTACAGGAATCTCAACCACTTAATTTTTATAATCTGTACAACAGGATCGACTAACTTTGTTTCTAATGGTCGTAGAACATGGTATTTTTTTAATAAGTGTAAAAATTCCACAAAACATTTCGATTAAAAAATTACCTTCCTATATAGTTGATCTGTCTAAGTTGTTTGAAATATTAATTTATAAGCTTAAAATCATAGTAGTAGACCAGGGTCGATAATTTTTGAAACCAAAAAAAATTGTAGTCGAATGAAACCTATTGAAAGAGCAAGAAAATATGCTAAATGTAAAAGAAAAAATAAATCCCACTCCATCCGAGGTCGGGAAGTGGAAGGGGGTGAGATTTTAAGGGTAAAAATCAGTTTATCGCGATTTTCGGTAAAACTACAAGTGCCATGGAAAAATATTAAATAGCAAAGTTGTAGGTAACAAAAAGATCTACAACTTTTATAGTTACACTTTTTTCACATAATCTCAAAATTTTTTTGGTTAAAAGTTGCCTTAGTATGTACCAAACACACTGTCATTTTTTTGGAATTTAAAAATTAATTTTTTTAACTGATATCGATTTAATATCGAAAAAGCACCCTAATTTTCAATCGAAAATTCACGAGTCCAAATATCAGCTTTTTTAAAAAATTCGTTAGGCTTTTTGTTTATTAAAATCTCTACTTTCCGATAGTGTAGACAAAAAATTTACATTTTTATGGCAAATGTTTTTAAAAAACGCAAAAAAAAAACAAAAAAAACTCAAATCGAAAAATTTTTTTTCATCATTATGTACAATTTTGAGATATTTCTTATAATTAATTCTGTAATTAGTCATGTAGCTTAAGATTTCATGATACATTGATAAACAAAAAATTATAAATCAACAAAACATTAAGATAGCAAAAAACATGTGAAAATAGCTGTTAAGAATATTCAAGGTTGGATTTAAAGGGAATTTCTATAAAAAAATGTGGCTGCTACACGATTTTTTTTACATTTAAAAAGATGGTTTATTAATCTTTAATTACGTTTTTGTCATGCGCAATCTTACGATATTGTATATATATATATATATATATATATATATATATATATATATATATATATATATATATATATATATATTGTAGTTTTGAGTTCGTTAATGTCTGTGTCACGTTTTACGTTTTGAATCTTGACAAAGGTAAGGGTTTCCTGCCGAAACGTTGATTGATTGCAATGGAAAATAAAATCTAGTTCCACATGAACATTAATTTTATATTAAATATATATATATATATATATATATATATATATATACAGATTGAACGACATAAATTCGGAACATAGGAATATAATGTATTTCGGCTCAATTCTGCTGTAGCTGGTTGGCCAACAAAAGATTGTCAAATAATTATATTATAAAAATCCGATACTTCAGCGGACTGCTGGATTTTGAACTCATAAAAATTAAAAGCTACACATAAATCTACGATTATGCTGTCAAACCAGTTATAGTCCAGGAAATGTAGCATTTCACCTCGCAATTTTTTCGTGCGGCGTGGATTGACTTGAAATTTAACAGAAGGTAGGTAATAGCCTAAGGATCAAAATCTATATCGAACCAAAGTGCGCCAAAGCCTAGGGGGTGGTTGCCACCCCATCTCCGGGGTGAAATTTTTTTTTACGTTTTAACTACAGGTTTCGATTAGAAAAGTGATTCTAAACAAAAAATGTGCTATACATTTTTTTTATAAAATGATATTTTTCAAGTTATTCGCGATTGAAAGTAACAACTTTTAGACGAAAAAATCCACGTTTTTAATCGATTTTTCGCGAATAACTCGAAAATGGTGCATTTTATCAAAAAAATTGTAGAGAACAAATTTGTATCTTTTAAAAAGACAAATACAATTACAAATACAATATCAATGTTCAGCGGTTTTCTTTAAATGCCAAATTTGAAAGATTCAAAGTCAAATATCGGGAAAATGATGCATTTTTGGAAGAAAACTCACAAAACCTTTTTTAAAGAGCATAACTATTTATCATAAAAAAATAAGGTCAATACCTCATTTTTTACGAAAAAATCGAGGAAAACAACACCCTAACCACCCCCATAATTAAAATCGATCTTCACCCTTCTGCAATTCCCTTTGTAGATGTATTGTTAATACGTCCAAGAAGTTTGACCCATTTAAAATGCTTAGTTTTAGAAAAAGTACAGCTTAAAGCGAGAAACGATTTACAATTTCATATTTTTTACCCTTCTTTTTTTAAATATGCCCGAAAATACTGAATATATGAAAAAAATAAAAATTACCAAATTGTGGCTTTTTTAATGACTAAAATTATCCTTTATTTAGATTTGTTGTACAATGAATATTTGGCGAGATATAGCCGTTTAAAGCATCGATTTACGATCAAGCACCACCTTTTTCGAGCCCTTTAAACTCACCTCATTTAAAAACCAAGGGTTCCAAAAAGATTTAATTCACAGATCCTTGTAGCTATTAAAAACCTCTACAAATCGTTTTTGAAGAAACATCTATCGTTAAAAATTAAAGGAAATACGTTAAAAAAACCAGTTAATTTTTTTCCGGAAAATTCCATTAGTATAGTACAGTACATTTCAGAGCATAATAATCTACAAAACCGGTATATTAGCTAGTGGGGCGTTATACATTCGAAATTTTAAGCGTTCTTATTTTGAAATCCCATACAACAGAATAAAACATCTGCTCATATGTCTATGGCTTGGCAATGAAAATATCAGAGCAACAGATTGGGGATGGTTTTCCAAAGATGGTTTGTTTTACCCGTACGCATGAACAAACAACCTGTACCCGATAAATTTTTGAAAATTATTTTTTGCCAATGCAAAAAAGGATGCGGCGTTTCATATGGGTGCAGAAAAGTTGGTTTATACTGTAACTCTACTTGTTCTGGGTGCTCAGGTGAAGGGTGCAATAACATTCCACCAATAATTGAGGAAGATGATGATGACATAGATCAAGATGAAGATGTAATTGATGACGAATAAAATTAATATTATAATTGTTTTACCTATAAATGTAAATATTTTCAACTATTTATGTAAATGTATAAGAATATATGGTGCCTTTTTATGTTGATAATTTTTTTTGTATTTAATTCTACTTTTTTCAATTCATATCTTATAAATTAGTTTATAAAAACTTCAATGTTGTAAAGGGTGATTTTCAAAAGTTGAAAAGTTATATGAATTTGTATTTTAAAGTATAAAAAAACTCACTATTTAACTAATTCAAACCAAATTTCACTCATTTTAGGATTTGTAATATTATTTGACAATTTTTGAAAATTAGGGGTAGTTTTCACCCCTAAGAACAATCAGGGTTCATTAGCATGACATAGGTAAACTATAAAGTAGAGGGTGAGTTGAGCTTAATTCCAAATTTTTACGCAAGTCGTTTCAAGGTGAAATCATTTTCTTCGCATTACTAATTTTTTTATATTAATCTCTAATGAGGGTCGCTTTTTAAGGGTTGAAATATGATGGAATTTTATTGAAAAGCACGAAACTATCATTATTTAATTAATTCAAACCAAATTTTACCCACATTCAGGTTTAATATGTTATTTTATAATTTTTGACAATTAGGGGTAGTTTTCACCCCTAAGAACAATCAGGGTTCGTCAAAATGACATAAACTATAAAGCAGCGGGTGAATTGAGCTTAAATCCAAATTTTTATCCAAATCGATACAAGGCGAAATCATTTTTTTAGAATTAGTAATTTTTTACATTAATCTTTAACAAGGGTTGCTTTTTAAGTGTTGAAATATGATGGAGCTCTATTCAAAAGTATAAAATAATCATTATTTAATTAATTCACACCAAATCTTACCCATATTCAGGTTTAATATGTTATTTTATAATTTTTGACAATTAGGGGTAGTTTTCACCCCTAAAACCCTTCAGCGCACTTCGGTTCGATATAGATTTTGATCCTTGGGCTATTACCTACCTTCTGCTAAAATTTCAGCTGGATACATGCAGGACGAAAAAATTGCGAGGTTTTAACTTTTTTCGAGCTTCAATTCCTGAACTATTATCGCTACCTTAGACAAACCCGTCTTACGCAAACAACATTGTTGCGAGACAGATAGTTGAACGATATTTTATACAATGTCTATACCCAGGTATGGATTTATTTTTGTCCAAGTTTTATATTGGTCCACTATTTTAAATGCAGTTCAAACAGACATGTATTAAATTGTATGTTCCGTTTTAATTTGGTTCAATCTGTATATATACATATATATATATATATATATATATATATATATATATATATTATATATATATATATATATATATATACATATATATGTATTGTTATGGATCAGTTTATCGATCAGAAATAGAATAAAGAGTTTTTTATTATTTTAATATACCGCGGGCATATAAGTTAAAATACAACCCTGTACTTATTTGTAACAGTTAGAATAAGAGAAAACATTGTTCCGTGACGGGACCCTAACGAGTTTTTCCGTGAAA